AACTAGGAGGATGTTGGATTTTAAATTCTGGAATGATGCACCTGCAATTTCATTATTTTGGAGCTTTGCTACTTGGCTGGTGTTCTTAAAAGTTCTGTAGCTAAAACTGACAGTTTACTGGTACTTCACCTATTTTAAGCCACTTTTGCAGTAATGTTTGCAATTATGTAAATGTCGTAGGGTCATCTGAGAAGTTGCAAAAGGACTCACGGTTCATGTTGCCCTATAAACAACATAAACAATGTTTTATGTCCCTGTATGTCCTTTTAGGTTTCCAAACGTTTTTGCAGCAAAGCTCTCGTTTACTCTCAGCAGACATTCAGTACAAACCACCACGTTATCATAGGAGACACAAAGTCAATTCGTTGTTAACTTACCCTTGCTTCCTCGGTTTTTCCATGCAGGCTCCCGACATTCACCTCAGGCCTCTAGGCTGTGAGTGCCTCCGACCGTTGATGGGGACAAACACACCAGTTGCTACTTGTATCTGTACAGCATTTTTAGTCTTCAACTCGCCTCAACTCACAGTTTCCATAGTAACGGGCTGGGAGGAATTGAAGACTGAAAAAGACATACAGGAGATTTGGTGTCCCTCTCTCTCACGCTGTCCTGCGGTAGAGGATGTGTGGGCTAAAATGTCCCTGTAAGGTCAGTCAGCTGCCGCGGGGGCTTGAGTAGGATGGGAACGCGAGATGGAACAGACGGGAGTGCAGAGGAGGCTGCCCTACCTCCAGATGACAGACATCTGGAACAAGGTGTAATTTTGTTTTGCTTTTCAACTCTTGACAGTAACTATGTGAAGAAAGTTTCAACTTCAAAGCGAAGTATTACACTCCAATGGCTTTGGAAACTGTGATAAGATTTGCTCTCCAATATATAGTACTGTATATAATTCTCTGTACATGAAATGCTTTTGAGTCTGAAGGGAATATTTTCTCAAACCTTACACAGCATTTCGTGCTTCCCTTAATAGAACAGAATGAGATGATAAAGATTACATTGAGGGGGAAAAGTTTTATCGGTCTGCCCCAGAGGGAATGGAGGACAATCTTGGTTATCTTTGTGTTTTTTCCTCGCCATGATGAACTGTGTCTCAAAAAGGAAAAAAACATCTTAAATCTTATGTGTGAATGTATTGTTTTGTACAAAGAGTTTTGCTTGAGAGGAACTTATATGTTTAAAGTACAAAGTAGAATTTGAGTTAAATTCCAGTCCACCATACATCTAAAATGTATATTCTAAATCAAAGTAATATGTCTTCAGCGATAAGGAGTTCAGTCTGTGGAATTAATAGTATCATCTGTACCCAAGGACAGAAGTTACCTGCAGTAAGCTTTAACTTTAGATTTATGTTATTAATCATTTATGATATGTCCAAAGTTCTTCAAATCTAATTTAAGACACTCAGATATTTAATCTAACGACTTTGATCTGCTTCACTGAGGAGTGACACTTTGAAGTTGCGTGTCACCTAAAAAAAAAATGTATCTGAGTAAATGCAGTCTTTCATAAACTGGATGTTAGAAATCATGCAACAAATAAGATGCTGTGACACTAAAAGGTTTGAACACAAAGAGAAGTTTGACTCTGGCTATATTCAACCAAGGCCCTTATTTTCCTGCTTTTTCTCATAAGACGATGGATTCTGTTCAAATTTCAGTCCGTTTCTTCACTGTAGAGCTCAGCGCTTCTCTCCAAAACACACCCAGAGTGCGAGGACTCTCCCCGGCAGTCAAACCCAAAATCCAATTTCTGATTACCCATTGTGTGTATGGTGCAGCATAAGGTAGCTGACACATACTGTCGGCCATTGAGTACGCTGATGCTGCGTTCATGTCACATAATACGTTCTGTAAATAGGAAACTAAGAACAAGGTCTCTAAACTTCCGTGTGGGAATTACAGGCAGAATCTGTGGACAGTTTTGCAGCTGCTGTTATCACATGCCTGGGGAAATGGCTGTACATACACGTAGTCTACCTGCTGTAGTGAGTTTGTGTGTGCTCGGTCGGTGTCTCAATGATTAACGTATACTTTAAAACTAAAGAAGAAACCTAAAGAAACCTGAATACAACACAAAGGCGGTAAGCAAGGTAAAAGAGGAAGTGTGTAAACAACAGCGCCTTATTAACCTACAAAGGGCAAAAATTTGCTGTTAGCCCCAATTGACCTTTCCATTACTCCCACCCACTATGCATTCTGTATGCATCATTTAAACATCAGTGATAGGTTTGTGGCAATTTGAAAACTTTTAGGAATATGCACCATGTAAGGACTTAACTCTAACTAGAGGGGGCCTCAAAATATGGTAATAATTGGAGTGTCAACATGAGGACGTTCTTGCTGCAGTGCATATTGTTCTTCTGTGGTGCATACAGTGATCGCCAGTTCATCAGAATATCACAAATAATTTTAGGTTTTACTCCATTTAAACTTGTGTACTTGCAATCACTAATCACAGGATATACGTAGCCTCAGATCCGACTTGAGTTGACAATGATTAAACCAAAGAGTGAGTTTTATCAATGAATTGTTCCATTTGAATGATGTTTAGAGGCCAAAACAGAGGTGAAATAAATGATCCATAATTTCAGAAATAGAAATAAAAACAAGAAGTGATTTTATCTAACAGAAAAATTATGCAACAAGTAAGGGCCAAGGTCCCCGAGGCAGTTTCCTGCTCTGCCCGGATGGTAACCAAGACTTCGTAAACAATGTTAAATAAAAAGAAAATTATTAAATGAATTAAATTTAAGCTAGAATGCTATGATAATTTAATCAATCAAAGTTATTAACAAACACACCATGAAATTAGGGCCTATAAAAGTAACTGGAATCATCCATTAAACAATAACATATCCTTTTGGGGTAAAACTGCATCAGTACTGGTACGGGTTAGGCAGTGTGTCTCATTAAATCGGATTTAAATTCACCTTTTCTAATAACAGCCTAATGTAATTTTCAGGAAAGAGAATCTCGGATCCATTTCAAGCATTGTTCTGGACCCTAATCTCTGTCTTGGCTGAACCTGATATTGCTAAATAAAAAGGCCCCTACTGAATGAGTCAACAAACAACCATCAGTCTGGGGATTAAATTAAATAACACAAACAAGCGAGAGTTGCATGATAAATGACCCAACTTTTAAAGTCTGTTGTGATTAATTATTTGAATACAAAGGCTTTGTGTTCCCTGGTCCTTAATCAATAATTTAGTATGTATGTACAGCTTGTTTATTTTCAGATGTGAGTCTCCACATGTTGCCCACTAGAGGCATAATACGAGGAATGACTGATGAATCATGTCTGATGTTGGAGTTCATTTCCCAACCCTGACTGCCTTTTGGCTTTCATCCTGTCTCCTGTCTCTCTCGCCCTCCAGCCAAAAAAGCCTGCACCGTCTAGACCCAAGAACTTCTGTCTGTCTTTTCCTTTCAACTTGTGACAGATGTACCGTCATGTGTTTACAATATTTCTTCCTCAGCTGTTCTGAACTTTCAGGTGTACGTGACAACAAATTAAAGGCCCTAAAAATGTATTTTCTTTGTTTTCCTGATTAGTTGAGGTTTTGAGTGTAAATAATACTTAAATATATAATTTATGTTTGTTTGTGTTTTTTTTTTACTTTGATTGTTGCTTATTTAGTCTAGAATATTTTAAGGAACAGTTCGACAGTTTGTGAAATACATTCTCAAACTCTCCGATGCATAATTAGATTACATGAGTCGGTTAGATGTCTGTTAAGGCTCCAGCCAGTAGCTGGTTATCTTAGCTCTAGCATGGCTCTGTTCAAAGGTAACAAAATCCACCTACCAGCATCTCTGAAGCTTATTAGGTACAAAAGCTGAAATGTAAAAATGACAATTTGTTGTTTTACAGGTTATGTGCTGGACCTTTTCCTGGTTGGAGGCAATGACTTCCTGGAGTCTCTGCTTGTTGCTCAGCCAAACTAACCGCTCATTACAATGGCCCAATATTTAACAGGTATGATAATGGTATCTTCTCATCTAACTGGTTATTTTTCAAAATGTCAGATGTTTCTTTTAATGTTATAGACGATTTATGCACAAAAACGGTTTTATGTTCAGTAGTTATACTGATAACAGTAGTGATCAACTGTGAGATGAAGAGAGCTAATAGGGGCTCATGATGTTTTTATTGACCTCCTCACAGATAACTTAATGTTAAATATAGCAATTAAGTAGTAGAGTAAATAAAGACAATAGTAGTCCCAGGCTACAACAACAGACTCATAATAGGAGTTCCCAATTAAAGATAATAACTCCCAAAGTGATTCATCATATTGTCTGAAGTGGCCATGGGCCAAGATTGAGACGTATTGTGAGTTTAAATATCAGCACTTGAGGTGATGGGTGCCCTAATTGCATTGTAAATACCCCCTCTGGTCAAGCAGTCAATAAGTACCAAGAATTGGTTAGAGTCACATGAAAGACCTGGGTCAGGCGATAACAGAATATATTAGATTTGTTGAGAAGCCTGAGAAACACTGAAATGCATGCATGTAGAGGAGGACCTATCCAGTGTCTCTTCTCCTCTTATTGGATTGTTCATGTCATTAGATAACTTATTATCTTATTGTGATCACCGTGATGCTTCTTGATACACTTTTACAAAGATAGAAAGCCATCATACACATGTCCAAAAGTAACCTATTATCTCTTCAGTGTGAAATTGCACTGTGCATCTTAAGCGTTTCTCCTCAAATCTGTAACATATGTACATATAATATATCCAAATGTGAAAAAAACACCTTTTTCATCATCCGCAGTACATAATTTAGATTATTCAATGTCAAGAAGGCACCGTAATAACATCTGATAGGAATATAAAACAATGACTCATTTCCATCATATAAGACAACCGGGAAAACGATGGAGAGGACTGGCCTCAGTAGGCGAGACGACCTCCGCCTGCTGCTTTGTGACAGCGAATGATAAAAGACACTGACCTTAGCCACAGCCCTCCCTCTCTCCTGCGCTCACCTGTTTATTCATGAAGACATAGATGACTGGGTTGATGACCGTGCTGGTCTTGGCCAGGACTGAGGGGATGATGCTTGCCTCGGGTGTGACCATGCCCGCCGGCCCGAAGGTGGCCAGCAGGGCCATAATGCCGTAAGGCAGCCAGCACAACAGGTAGCAGATCACCATAATCACCACCATGAATAGCACGCGCTGCTCACGTTTCCTGCTCATTGATGCATTAATCCCGCTCACCTGGAGACAGTGAGGAAAGAATAGGAGGGATGAGAAATGAGACTTGATGATGACATATATGTTTAGACATATAAGGTTTTTAACTTTTGCTGCCACAAGGCATTTGAAGTTTCCCCTATGGGAGAGAGCTTTTAGAAAAGGAGTCTAGGAAGTAAAATGCAGGAGCGACAGAATAGAGTGCAGGTCAAAGGGGGTGAAGTGGGAGATTGAAAGGCATACGGAGAAGGCAGTGAGCAGGAAACAGACAGAAGAGGCGTCAGGGAAACTCATCTCAGCGTCTCCAGAAGGACTGTAATCAGTGAGGAGACAGGCAGTAGAAGAAGAAAATTACTGAGTGCTTTGTTATTACTGATCATTGGATTTACTAGAAATCTTGATCTCAAACCCAATTATTAAGTGTTTAGTGGTGGTTCTGACAAAAACACATGGGCACACACAGTGTAGGTCTCAAAATAGTTTATTGTTTTTTTGGTCATCATTCCCCTTGATAATAAGATTATAATGGATTGTAATAAATTGACATTTGAGGAAAATTCACTTATTTGCATCCTTGTGGAGAGTTAGAGAAGATAATATCATATTAAATATGTTATTTAATATAAACACAACCAGCTGCTGATTTAGCTTAGCCCAAAGACGAGAACAACATCCGCTTTGCACTCCATTCAAAATCTGGCCGCTCACACTCTCTGCTAGCTCACGCTCTGCTCATATGTTCTGGTTAACACGTTATATATTGTGGTTTTGAAAAACCAAAGCTTATGTGTCGGATTATTTTTTTAAAGAAACATTTCTGAAACGACAAAGGCAAACGAGTCAGACGAGTACAGTATATGTATGGCTTTAAATAAAACGTGTCATTATCTAGTTAAACTGTAAGCTCATTGGCAATCTGTATGACTGTCTGTCTGACCTCTCATGATTCTTACTCTTGCCGACTGTTATCATCATAACTTTATATATAAAACTGTACCCAAGTGCTTGTAGTTGCAGAACAAAGAATCCTCCAATGGTCCAGTGATCAGTCATCACAACTCTCATGACTAATCATGAAGAAAATAATTCTCACTCTGCTAACTTCCTCCATATTTTTATTAGTCTACTCTATATTAGACATTTTCCGTTTAGCAAATGCTACGTACATGGCATATACATGTTTAGGCAGGTTGTAAGGGTGTGTAAATTATGATTCAGTCGGTTTCATAGCACCGTTCAGTTCACATTTTACTGACCATGCTGGATTCCCGTAGACTCCCGTGCTGCCACTCACACTGCTGCATTTGCATGAACATACACATTAATATGGTACTCGGCTTTCACCAGATAGACAGTGTTTGCATTACTGTCACAATATGACAGAGCAAATAAATGCTTTTCCATTGTGGCGGACTAATAAAGCCATGCCACTGATCGACAGACTCTTTACATTTAGCTCTTTTTTTTCACTTTGAACATTACAAGAGAAGAGGCGTTTGGCTGAGGCCAATGTATTTAGCCGAACTCGCTACCTGAGATGGAATTACGTTTGCCAGAGTAATGGAGTGTTAACTTTCCCAAATCCAAAAAAGAACAGGACAGAGCCACTAACGTCCTACCTAAAACCACATCCAGGACCTGCTTCTGCGCACTGGGGATCATGAACAGTACTTTTTATTTAATGGAACTTGAAACCACACAAAATGATGTAGTATAAAATGCTCCTTGTCAGCATAAGTAACACTACATTAGCAATACCACTGTGGGGAGTATGCTTGCTAGTTAACATTTGTGGCTTATGTTAGAGCCAGCACATACACGGTTTAGTCCATTCCTTTCATTTTTGCTGTCATAGGTTGCGCTATTAGGAGGCTAGGTTGAAGCTCAGCTTTCCAAAATCATCACTAAAATATAGTCACCAGCAATTTCATGTAGCCAGTAGTGCTGTGAGCGTCACACGATAAACTGACCTGAGTTCAGTAGCAAATCCGCCATTCAGTATCCCCACATTTGTATTTAACGTAGGCTGGTTAGGTTGTCACTGTTGAGAGATCAATGGGGAAATTATTTTCAACTCGCCATGAGTTATGTGTATGTAAATTATAATGACAGGGTTTAGATCCTGTGCCACAGCTTATAGACACATATAACCATTGTTTTCATTCATACAAGATGTACGACTCTGATACTCCTTAAACAATAACAAAACAAACATGTCAGACTGGTGAAGGCACATTGAGCGCAAGGAATGTTCATTTGTCTGAAAATTTTGAGTGAAATGTTCTGATTCCTACCCGCATGCACAATGCTTAATGCCTTGCCTACAGTTACAGTTGCTAAGCTATGATTGGACAATAGTTGTTTTGGGGTGTGGGGTCTTGGTGAGCAGTCAATTAAGGCAAAGATTGGAGACAAGTCTATCACACTGGAGCCACTGGGACTAAGTTAATTTGCTTTGACTCCCTCTGCCATTAAATCTCTAAGTTGGCAGGACAGCAGGACAGAACGTCCTAAAAACAAGCTCCTGAGGAGACAATCTGATTTAGCTTGAAATAGACCACACACAAAATACAAAAATAACTTAATTCCAACAATAGCCAAATTTTACATAAACTTCTAGGAATCCTGCCAAGAGCTGGTTGACAGTGCAGTGCATCTAACTCATTAGGCGATCTGTCCTAGGTTTGCCTTTTTACCACATTCTCATTTACTGAACATTTTTATACTCCATCCTTGCTTAACTGAAAAGTTCACCTGTCATTTTAGCTCAGAAAAGTTTGTTTTACTTCCAGTTTGGCACTGTTTCCACCCCGTAGACTTTCTCACTTTGTCAGCTCTGGAGAATGGGTGGCTAATAGCTTCAATCTTGGCTCTGATTAAATAAATGAAGTGGCAGAGATCACAGACAAACTGAGGAAATGGAGGGTAAGTGCTGAATGATTGCAATCAAAGGCTGGCTGGCTGGTGAAAGGAGCTAGCTTACTAATTGACTGCCCTTACAGAAAAACTTTTTCATATGCTAAACAGCAAACCCCAAAGCCGTATAATTAATATTTATGGTCTGTGTGCGTGTGACGGCATAAATCTGTTGCGGCCTTTTGTCAAAATGTTGAGGACTACAAGCTTGGTAATGAGCATCAAAATAACAGCAAGTTTTAGATGATGGGCGACATGATGTTGCAATAAGCAGCTGGTGAACTACGAACAGAAGCCCCTTTCTTTTTAGCTGAGCATCATGACAGTTTGAAATAGAGTTGTAGATTATGGGCAGTGGTCCAACGTGGCACTGATGCTCACAGAGTGTGGATAGATATGTGGGAATGAATTTGTCAAGAACTGTTTGATGGAAAATCTTTGTCAGGAGAGAATATCTTCACAGCGTTCAATGACTAAATTAAATATCCGGTGGCTAATTTTCTTCTGCGACGACAGAAGGAGCATTGTCTCCTTTTGAGTCCCTGGCGGGCTGTCAGTTATTTAGACAGATCATTTGGCCAGTGTGCTACAATGTTAAAATTAGTTTTGAAACAAACAGCCTGGAAATAGAATAAAGTTTAAAGTGTGGGTACCTTAAACAGCTTCATTGCTTCAATGTGTGTGTCTGTGTCTGTGTCTGTGTCTGTGCTTCTACTCTGTTGGCCCTTATTTGTAGTTTTCTTATCTTTTTCCCCTCATACATCACAGTACATATCAAAATTACAAATGTACTATACTGTAGACAAAAAGTATTTATACCTGGTGCTTTTTTTCTGCTGCAATATCAAAATGTGTTCTGAGAAAAAGACTGTCTCATGTATTAAACATTGGTATCCAAACACAGAAGCTAAGCATTACTTATGCAAGCTGCTCACTCAGTGTGTAAAGTTCCCATCACTTCCTGTGTTCTCTGCCAGCTCAAATTATTCAAATAAAAATAATTCCTTCTGTTGGACCTAATGGTTCAAATTGTGATGATTAAATGATTGATGATGAAGAGGCCTTAGAATGTGTGTATTGCAGCAGTTTTACAGCCGTTTCCCGTCTACTGATGCCCAGTGTGTTATGTGACCTGCTCTTTAGACTTTGGCCAGTAAACTAAAATCAGGCCCATTGCTTTCTAGGACAGTTTTTCATCATATCAGAAAAAAACACACAACGTACTTTCATTTGGCAGTATTACCATAGTGGCCCTGGCCCTGGAAAATGTGTGTGTGTGTGTGTGTGTGTGTGTGTGTGTGTGTGTGTGTGTCTGCCTGAATAGAAAAGAGTGAGCGTTTTGTGTGTTTTACTCCTTTCTGCCATTGTAAATGATTGCATGTGTGTGTGCGCTTTCTGCCACACAGTCCTTTTGCTCTTCCAGATGACCCTGAAGGTGACATGAAGAACCTGCTTTCAGAATGCGTCAGCCATGTTGTCCCTCTGTGGTAAAAGACTCTGTGGCTGTCACACTGATATCTACTGTAGAAATGTTTCTGTCTGTAGGGAAAGCCATCTATTCTATTCAGTGTGTCACAGGTAAGAGGATGATTAATGGTGTGTGAAGTGAGGGAGACTCATAAATTGCATTTTAAGCTGTGTCATTTGAGAAATTTGACAGTTACATTTTACTGTAGGCATTTAGCTGTTCATACTTCATGTTCTGAAGAGGATCGTACCATGAGTGAATGGTAAAATCAGTTCCTGTACAAAGCCTCAACAGTTAGGCTCAGGACAGATATGAAGTGAGCACTCGGTAAGGTACATGCTGTCCTTCTTGAAGAGATGAGATTGAGAAATGGAGGCAAAAGAAATGATAACCAGATCGTCGTAATACAGATATTGGCCAAATGTAGAGCATTGAATGGTCTGCATTGTTCACACCGCAGCTCCATTATTATTAGCTGTTTTTAAGGAGGGAATAGTCAAAGGACATGCAAAAATTGGAGGAATCATGGATGAGTTTTAGTTTAAAAGAATATTTCAGCAGCATGGCTACAGTTGGTGTTGCCGTGGTCAAGGCGGGGGATGATTAAAGTTTGAGCAAAAGATCCGAGTAAAGTCCTGGG